ACGGGCCAAGAGGTGGCCAAGAGAAGCGAGCTGCGATCGCGCAGCGAAGAGCTCGGACTCGGAACGTACCGCTCTACCCGCCCGCCTTGATTCCGCCGCCGAGCAGTGGCGCTCCGCTCAGCTGATCGCAAGCGATTCTCCAGCGCATGAGTTGGCCCGTGTTCAGGCCGCGCAGCGCGCTGCGCCACCTCCATCCGCTCTTCTGCTTTCCTACTTTGGTGGCTCTATACGTATTTCTGTCTCTGTCTCCCTCTCTTTCTGTTTTTAATGCAATTTACTTACTGAACGCATTTAATAAATTATATTTGCTAAAATGTAAAACATTTAATAGGTGTAATTTTCTTCTTTCTTTAGAAATCTTTGGGCAAGCAGTGCTTGCCTTGCTTATCCGGACCGCACGCCACTGGCGGAATTTGTATCCTGCTGTCATCTTTTTTTATCATACTCTTCGATGGAATGATTAGAGTTTGAGATCACTGAATGAAGTCAAGGAAACTAATTTGGTCTTTTTCAGAAATGTTGAAATCAGCAAAGTTGAGTTGTCAGCAGAAAATGTTCTTTTACCTTTAGGTTGTAGGAGGATCCAGATACTTAAAACAGGGATGGGGGAGGGGGGTTTCCCTCCAAAAATTTTAGAAATTTTAAAGTACCTAATATGCAGTTTGAGTCAATTTTTTCATGAATAATTACCAAAAAGCGTCCTTCCTTCTTTTCCCCCTTCCTTGCTTTCCTATTTCTTCCCTTTCTCTTGCAAATGGGGGAGGGAGGAGGCACGTTTTCTATGCTCCCCCTTGAATCTGTCTGTATCTGAGGTAAAGGCAAATATTGTTGTTGGACTGTTTTTGTGATCAAATAGAATTCTAAATGTGGCATCCATGAGTTGCAATCATTTGGCAAAAGGACTTCTCCAATCTTCACTTGGATTTTCTGTGAAAACAAGGGCTCAAAGTCCGGAAACAATACTGTTTTCCTCAATTTTGAAACGTTTTGGCTCAAAGTGGCGAAAATTGTCGTATTCTCTTCACCCATGTTACAGATGATTTATAGATCTAGAACCATACCAGTAACTCAATGTAAAAGGTACGCGACTCCATTTTAGGCATTTCAAGATATCAGAAAAGTTATTTGTTGGCGTCATTTGTTCCAATGTATATTGCAATTTTTTGGACTCAATATCTTACAATCATCGCTATGGGCCTCCAAATTTTTTTCACAAATGGAACCATTGTTGAGGTTTTTGGAATGCCATTAACTTGATTTTCCTTTAAATGTAAGCGAGGTTTTATTTTGCTCTGAAGTACTGATTTTATCTGTTATGTCATATATTGCTGATGCATGTCATATATTGCTTATATTGCATTTTTATTTTTTTCAGGGAAATGCTACTCGGGAAAGTCCCAGACGGCTTCAATTTCCTGCCAAAACATAAAGCCAACTCATGGAAGTAAACTGTAAGGCGTGAATTAGAACTTAAGATTGAAATTTGTCCCAAAAAATTCCCTTTATTCCCTTAGCAGAATACCAGAAAAGGTTAGTACATTGCCATCATCTACTTTCCTTTACTGCAGCTCAGTAAAATACCCTCCATGTAATCTTTGCCCATCATCCAAGGTTGCCAGATTGTGCGATAAAATACGGATATTTCACATGGGTTTAAATGGGGAAATGTGCTGATTTTTCAGCACCATTTGGCAACAATGCCATAGTTGCCAAATAATGCTGAAAAATCAGCACTTTCCCCTATAGGAACGCATGTAAATATCCACATTTTCTCGCACAATCTGGCAGCTTCGCGGCATCATCCTTGTCCCTAGGGGCCTCCACTCTGGCATCACCATCGTAAGATTTGACACAAACGGTTACCATGGTTAGTGCTATATGGCTCAAAATATGAATAGAAGTGAACTCGCTGTAAAAAAAACATTGGACGCACTTCATTCTGGGCATTACTTCTCTCATCTTGATGAGCAAATATACTTTTTAACTAGTCCAAGTTTTTTTGCAACCTATTTCATCGCCAATACTGAAAATATTAAAGTTCTGTGAATGTCTTGAACACTGCAGATGGCATTTAGAAAGTTAGACTCTTTTTCCTAATTTTTTGTGTGCCTGATAGTATTGCTACTGTCAACTGTCACGTATTAACATAAAAATATCAGGAACGGTTGGTTTTTGGCTCTCTCTGCAACTCTGTACAACTTTTCTGTCATTCTTCTGCTGAATGGGCAAAATTCTGCCCATTCCGCAGGATGTACGGTAATGCGTACTGAGCGTAATATGGACATCACATCAAAGCGAATAATGTTTGTTTCTGCAAAGCAGAAATTCTCATTACAGTGGGGCATTTTATTGCCCAGAGGTATTTTATATTTTGAATTTCGTATTTAGAGCATACAATTTTCTCAGAAATTAGTTCAATCTTGTTAGCGTTGAAAATTGAAGAGGTCATTGTTTTTATAGATCATAAGATGAATTTTAGCATCTGAGGACAAAGATATCAGCATTATATGAATATTATGCATATGCAGATAAGTGTAAAATAGTAATTATGTGGGCCACTCAAACAATTGTCGAACAACAGGCATCTTTTCTTATGGCACCTCTAACTCGATAAAGTTTTGTCATTATTTTGATTTCTTCTCAGTCCTCCAAAGGAATTCTTCGTGTGAAGCTGTTACAAAGATCAACATCTCTTGTTTTTGTGTATTGGAGCTTCCAATTACTAACTTTACTTAAGCATTTTCTTAAAACTTGGAGGAAAAAGGTAGTTTGAATTTAAAGTCTGGCAAAACTAATAATTTTTACAACCTCTCTTCAATGAGTACTAATTATTTTCCCCTGTAGATATTCTGAAATTGAAGGATTTTTTTTTTGGTTTGATTTTTTCGTAGTTTCCAAAATATCCTGGGTGTACAGGAGCATACTTAAATTTATTAAATGCCCATTTTCCTCAAATCAAGCATGTACTCAGTCTTTTTTGATATCATAATTTCTCGTTCGAGTACAGTTTTAATTTACCCAATATCTTCGCCAGAAATTTCCAAACCATTTAGATATTTGACTTCTCAACCTGTTATCAAAACATAACCTCCCTGAGGTATTTAACTAAGTATTTTGACTGTTTTTCTTGTCGATTCTGTAGCCTTCTCTCTATTCAAGGTTTTTAAGTTCTCGTTTCCTTAGATAGATCTGTTGCGTTATTTTGTATTTGTCACCCCTTCTCTTTATTTTTCGAATAAATAATTTCATTTATAAAACGCATTTTGCTACATTTCATTCTTAAAATTTTATTCGGTCAAATTATGATTTTTTATTCAATGTATCTCGCTATTTAGTTTCCTTCTGTTCATTCGAAGAAGAAAAAAACCAATTTAAATCACAAAAAATAGCCAAGTTATCTTTCAACCTCTGATCAAAATGTTACCCTCTTCAGGTATTTAACTAAGTATTTTGATTGTTTCTCCTGTCGATTCCTCAGCATTAGGCTATACTCATGGTTTTTTAGTTAGATTCCTCAGCAAGAATCATTGCGTTATTTAATATTTGTCACTTCTCTTTATTTTTCAAATAACCAATTTCATTTTCAAACGCATTATGCTACATTTGACTCTTTAAAATTGAATTTGGTTGAAAAATATTTTTTTCACTATATCTTGCCCGTTAGTTTCCTTCTGTTCATGCAAAGATGAGTTCACCACTTTAAATCACAAAAAAAAGCCAAGTGGTCAGATGGCTCTTTTGTGACTGGTCGAAAGTGAAACTTAATTATAAGTAGTAACCAAGAGCAAATTAATATTCATCGTGTCTCATGGAAAAGTCCACCAACCAAACAGTTCACTTGTTCCTCAAATCACTTGGTTCCTTTTTAGCTGGATATTATTATATTTCAATGAATGTATTGCAATGTAGAAAAGTAGTGTGAGAGTTAGGTCAACAAAATGAATTTTATTAAAAATTTAATATTTGGTAGTACAATATGTGATTTACCACTGGCCTCACATTGAAAGCTTTTAAAATTAGTAAACCTCTTTAATTTCACCCAATGTTGAAATGGGCCACATGCAGTCGCAGCCAGAAGGTATGACTTGTCGGGTTGTTTCCCAGCAGTCTCCATCTCGTCGTCTTCGCGATAGGTACATTACTTGAGAGCGCTGAATACACTTGAACCCATCATAGGCACATTGCTGCAATCCAAATTATTAAGAGCTTAAATTTTGTATCAACCTAAAGTAATTTTTTGGAAGGACAATTCTAACAGCTTCCTTGGTAAATTCTCAGTGGAGATCAAGTTGTTTTTTGATCTATTTAGTTCATGAGCTCAAGGCTTTGTTGGCACAGATTAACATTTACAGAACTTGCTTTGAAAAATCATGGCACTTGTCCCAAGTAGATGGTTCCCAAAGCAATTCCAAGTAGATAAGGACTAACAGGAGTTTTGAGTCTCATGTCACTTCTTTATAATTAAGCCCAGGATGTTTCATTGAGAGAGAGAAAAAAATTCAGTCTGATCTCACAAAAGGGTTGACTTTACACTGTGTGAGTGTAGCACTTTGTATGGTCACTTAAAATTAAGTATAGAAAAAAATGTTACCTGCTCATATTTGTGATAAGAGTAGCTTTTGTAATGATAGCCATGGGGTCCATAAGTCAGCAAAGGCTGGAATTTGCGGCAAAGAACCTCTGTAAAATGTGATGGTCTGTATTCATACAGGTCATCTTTAAGGCTTATTCGACGTCGAATAGTGCTACAAAGAGGACGGAATTCCTGCAATCATCAGAATTACAATGTTTCATCAATAAATTGAAAAAAAATACTCCGTAATGAAGAGCTGAAGACTACCTGTATAAAACTAAAACCTCATGAAATTAGAAAATTCTAGAATTAGAAATCTGTACTCTCTCTAATATCATAGTGAACGCAGAAAGCAGTCTTTTACATACTATTTCATGAACTTCCTTTTACTAGAGCAAAGGATGTCGAGAACATCGGCTATTTGTAGCTGAGCACTGATTTTAGAATTGTTTAATAATAGAGAAGGTATCATTGACCAGATAATAGATACATCAGGAACGCTTTTGGAATTAAAAATGCACCAAATTAAATGTGTATGAAAGGATCAGCTGAAAGAAGAACAAAATTGGGACACATCTGGAACTCCAAAGAACTTATCTAGTAATTGTCCCCCATACAAATCTGGAGAAGTAGGAGGAAACTTCGGTTTCTCATCAGGGAAGGGGCATGGCCATCCAAGTAGCGCAGTGCAATATTGAAATTAAATGGCAATTTGATTTCAATAAGATTGTAATTTGTTTATCATTAAATTGCAATATTTTTACATCATATAGTCGATTTATGCCGATTTCATACAATCAGCAAAATGAGCTCCATGTGTCAGAAAGTTAAGCAATATGCAATGCAATGAAAAATAGCAACTTATTTCAATTTTATTCTAATGAGTTTCAGTGAATGGGGCTCCTTCAAATAGGAGCTAGGCAACATACACAACACTCAGCGGAATGGAGATGTTGCTTGTGTGAGGAATTTGCGATTTGACTACTGATTCTTATGTAGAAGTTCGCGAGAAACACGATGGTGCCTCTGGTTTTCTCTGAAATCAACTCCCAAGCTCAAAAAAAAAGCTCTCAAGTTGAGGCCAAAATGGAGGGGCTATCCCACGCTATCCTGAGAGTCCACCTCTACACCAAGACAAACTCCCCTTGCAAAGATAGGGAGCAAAAACATTGACAGGGCTGCTACTGTATTGGGGACTCTAAAACTGAAAACAAGGCAACCCTGCTAATGTATTTGCTCCCTATCTTCGCATGGTGAGTTGTCTTGATGCAGAGGTGGACTCTCAGGATAGCGTGGGATATCCCTCCATTTTGGCCTTAAAACTTGAGAGCTTTTATTGAGCTCGGGAGTTGATTTCAGAGAAAACCAGTGGCACCATCGTGTTTCTCGCAAACTTTTACATAAGAATCAACAGTCAAATCGCAAATTTCTCACACATTCATATAACATCTCCATTGCAATATTTTTACTATTCAAATGCTACTTATTGCAATCTGTGCTACTTGGGCAAACATTGTAGAAACCACGGATTAAATTTTCTGGAAATGAGAAAATGTTACGTGAAAATAGGAAAAAATGTTGTTAACTGACCAGGGCGACCTCTCGCTCGAACTCGTCGTACCTCTCCCGCTCGTGGTAGTAATCAGCGTCGGTGATCTCCTGGATGTGCTCCGTGTCGATCGGGATGTCCCACACGCTCGTCTCGTGGACGTCGTCGTCGTCGTAGTAGTCCACGCTCGACCTCGAGCTCCCCACGCTCGGGTCCCTGTAAAACTACAACAAATCCATCCACTTGAGAACACAGCCAGGAACTTTTGGAGGGTACGAATTCGATCCATACAGTGGATCGAGGCAATAGGAGAGCTTGGACAAAATGGACCAATAGACAAGGTACGAATTTCAGCATTCTGATACATGTTTCTTAACCAAAATTTCACGTAAAATACGATGCGTTCAGCGGAAATTACCGAAATCAATACCTTACGAAGATATTTAATGATTCTTAATGCGTGAATTCAAACCATCCGCTCATGAAGACTCAATGCTCTTCTTGATTCACATCGAGCGCTAAGTAAACGTTCTCATATGACAGTCCCTGCGATATAAAAATCTGGCAACCTCGATCTTGACGCTTTGGCTCAGCTATAGCTAATTGCTCATAGTTTGAACAACACATGGTGGGAAATAAACATTGCTCGATTAAGAAGCTTGCTGAAACCGTTGTAGTGCGCGATTTGACTCACATAGAGCTTTGAGTTTCTTGTGAGCGGGCAGTTCAAATTCCTCGTAACCAATGTGTAATAAAAACGTTAAATTCTTCGTTAAAAGTTGGTTTCAGTAATTTCCGTTGTAAGAATCGTGTTTTATGTAAAATTCTGTTTAAGAAACATGTATCAGATTGCCTAAATTTGTACCTTGTCTAGTGGTCCATTCAGAAACTTTAAACGCAACTCCGTCTATACAGAACTTCGGGTTTTTGAAAGTGGTTCCATTGGTTTCCTTGTGAAATTTTCTGCAGCTGGCTGGCACCCCTTGAAATTTAAAATGTGACGAAATAAACATCAAAATTTCCGATTTTAGTCAAAAACTTTATGGCCGAGCTTTCCAATTGACTCGATCCACTGTGCGACGTGAATCGATTATAGAAAATGAAAAACGTGAACCGATTGCCTTGAACCGATCGACAAATCATTAAGAAAACTGTGTCGATTTGATCAGCATGAAATGATCGAAAAAAGAAAACGTGAACATCAATCGAAATCGAAAAAACCAACGGGAAAAATTGGTCGACACTTTTCTTTCGATTTTTCAAAGAATTATGTTCGTAATTTGATCTAAAGTGTCTGAAAATTTTAAACGTCCATGACTTTACTCAATATTGAGTATTTTCTGAGGGGGACTTCGGCAACATTCATTTTCATACATATAACGTTTTGCGTTTTTTCTCTTTTTTTCTTTTTCTGTTTTTATCTTTTTTTCTTTTTCTTTTTTTCTTTTTCTTTTTTTCTTTTTCTTTTTTCTTTTTCTTTTTTTCTTTTTCTTTTTCTTTTTTTCTTTTTCTTTTTTTCTTTTTCTTTTTTCTTTTTCTTTTTTTCTTTTTCTTTTTCTTTTTTTCTTTTTCTATTTTGCTTTTTCTTTTTTTTCTTTTTCTTTTTTTCTTTTTCTTTTTTTTATTTTTCTCTTTTTCTCTTTTTCTTTTTTTCTCTTTTTCTCTTTTTCTCTTTGGAGCTTATTGGGAGATTATTCCAGATAAAACCAGTGGCATCATCGTGTTTGTCGCGAAAATTCACTTCCGAGAATGTACCCAAATCGGCTAAATCCCAAATCCCTGACGAGAGCAAGGGCTCCATTCTTTGCGATAACAATCGTTAGCCGCGGAGCCCCGTTAACAACAAGAAACAAAGAGCTTTAAAACTTATGAAAAACATTCTTTGAATGCATCATCCTCATAACCGTTATTTTTTAGGGTTTTACGTTAAAAAAAATATATGTACACAATCATAGGAATGATGATACCGTATGCTGATCTAGTCTCGAGACTTAGTCCAGGCGCCTGGTAGCTAAAAATGCGGCTACCTGGAATTTTGGGTACACAGCGATTTTTTTGGCTTACTTTATTTTTTTTGGGTCGCTGAATCCGAATCTGAAGTTTCCTACCGCTTATCTGGTGAGCATTTTCCGCCATTTTGAAAAAAAGGCCTTTTTTGCGGTTTTTTTTATGTAGCGGATACGCATGAAAAAAAATCCCAGATTTAGCTAATGTTTTAAATAGCTGACAAAATTTGGAAGAAAATGGTGTTAATATATGCTAGGTTTGCTTAAAAATTGAGGAAGATATAGCATCGTGAACATCGCGCCCATTCACGTTTTCGCGGCGCACCCGTTAACGCGTGATCCGGCTCGCCGCGGTCAGCTAAGTTCCGAAGCGTTCCAAAGTTCCGAGATCCGAGGTTCCTCAATTTTTGAGCAAACCTAGCATATTCATATACCATTTTCTTCCAAATTTTGTAAGCTATTCAAAACATTAGCTAAATCCGGGATTTTTTCTCATGTGTAGCCGTTTTATAAAAAAACCGCAAAAAAGGCTTTTTTAGGCGATTTTTTCAAAATGGCGGAAAATGCTCACAAGATACGCGGTAGGTTACTTCAGATTCGGATTCAGCGACCCAAAAAACATTAAGTAAGCCAAAAAAATCGCTGTGTACCCAAAATTCCAGGTGACTTACCAGGCGCCTGGACTAACTATGGAAGGAGGTACTTAAATGGAACACGATTGGTTCCTAATATTCTCAGATTCCGTGAATAATGACTTGAAAGATCTTAATTGAGCTGTTGACACCGCACTAAATGCGTCGCAGTTGCTCAGCAGTATGTTGAAAAATCAAACTATTTTAGGACACATTAACATTCTTCTTTTGAAAAAGAAGTTTTCGGCCAGATCATACTGAGGGCGTCATGCTTCATTTGCAAGTATTTGAAAAATTTGTGACGGGAGCTGATGATGTGCGTGATTCTTACTGTTATTTTTTCATGTGTCGCATTATTGTGATTTGTATTGGAGGAAAACACGTCTGCATTGTGACTCGAATTAGAGGAAAACACGTCTGCATTGTGACTCGAATTAAAGGAAAACACATCTGCTTTCTCCGTCGTTGTTGGTGCGGTTGCTCCTAAGACCACCACCAATTTAACGGCCAAGTGTAGGACGACCAGAAAAGCTGTTTCTCCCTTTCCGGCGCTCTGAAACAAAGATGAATAGTTTTCATAATCAGAGCGAACGTTTCTTATATATACTGCATACATCAGACCAGTGTTCGAAACTCACAGGCGCCAACGCGCCAAATGCGCCTAAGAAATCGGTCATGGCGCCTAAAAAATGAAGGCTCTGCGCATCGTTACCCCTAAAAATTGCTCCTCCCCCCAAGAAAAAAAATCATGGTTTTTCTGTTAGGTGATTTTTCCAAATTTCCCCTAAGTAACAGCTACTAGTTCTGTAACTAAAACATCTTCCGTCTAACTTGTCACTAAATGCGCCGTGATACATAGGCTAAAAGTCAAATTTGGCCCCTAAAAAATCTTCAATGGCCCCTAAAAATCGAGCTTGATGCGCCACATGCCTCCTGAAACTCCGAGGGTAGTTTCGAACACTGCATCAGACCAAGACATTTTTGTGACAGATTTGGGACAAAGCCAGGTAAAAAGGCCCTCCCAACCCCAAAGAGATAATTTTTTAGCACTGAATCTAAAGATTATGCCTGCTTAATTTGCCACCAAAAATCTTCAAAAATTAAATCTTTTAGAGCACCCGGAGGTATAGATATCATAAAATTGAGAAACATGCAGTTCAAGCTAGATACGATTTTAAGACTTTTGTCTGACTTCAATACTGAAAATAAGAGAATAAAAATAAAAATACTGAAAGGGCTAAATCTCGCCCGGCAACGCACTTGACACGGGCTCGCTCTGGGGGCGTAAAGAGCGTGAATATTTCGGGGGCGCCTAAGAGGCGAAGTCTCCACCAATCCGCGAATTTTAGGAGCCACGGATAGCTCACATGGTTGAATGATGACAAGACAACAATTGATTGATTAAATGAATGATTGATTGATTTAATAATCATAGACAGAATACACGAATCAAATTTCAGAACAACGAAACCGAAAAACACAACTAAATCTTCTTCAAAATCTTCCAAACTTCCAAAAACTCTCCAAAACAACCGAAACTCAAAAATAGACAAAAACTACAGCTAGCACACCAGGACTTGGCGGGGGCAACGGTCGGACGACTCTAATGTGCTGATCCTCTATGCCGGGGGCCTCGCGGAGGCTGCTGACGAATTTTCACTCAAAACGTTGACGGAAGGGTTGAACCGCACTCAGTGACTTGGCGGGAGGCAACGGTCGGACGACTCTAATGTGCTGATCCTCTATTCCAGAGGTCTACGGAGGTTGATTCGACACCGCCGAAAAACACTTTGAGGACTCAGGGATGGAATTTTACGTGCACCTGGACATTACACGGAATCGCGACATTTCCCATCCCGGCGAACATGAGCGACTGAGTTTAGAAATTTTCCGGAAAACGCGCGTCACCGTGCACCGCCACTTCCTACGTCCCGCGCGTCCTGCCCCTTTACGCCAATAGCATCTCACGAAAAGTGCTGATCAATCTAGGGCTGGCCGCGGTTCACACGGGAAACAAGAGCAAAATCTAACCTATGACGTCACAACATTTCCTCCTCGCTGAGCCGCTGTCCGGCAAGCGATCTGCGCTATTCTCCCAGTACAAGGAGAACATGAATAATTTTTAAGTTTAGGGCTCAATTTTCGTTTCAATACTTTTTGGAGGGGCTTGCTTTTTTATATTTTTTATTTTTCAAACTCTCATCAATTGCGGTCAAAGCATGCTTGTCGATAAGATTCTCACCAATTTCAACGTGCGTGTCGAGAAATTGCCTATTCAAAATTATTGGAGGATTTTTCTTATTCCTTTACCACTTTAGGTTCATTCTTATGATTCGTGGTAATTTGCCGCCAGTGAGGTTCGAAAAAACGATGTACGATTGCGACGCAGTCGATTTCCCAGCTTGTTTACTTCCTCGGTTCAGCTTGTATTTTATCCTTTTCTGCCTTCACTACTTTTTCTCATGCTTCTTAGTTCTTCTTTTCAACGTATTGAATATTTCTCTAGATTTTCCTCCCGTTCCCTCTTCGCGTGACAAGAAATATTCTGTGAACATCTCAGAGAGTGATATTGAGGGGAGTCTGGTTATTTGGGGGGGGGGGCAGAGGAGAGGGAGGTATGTATTTACAAACACCACAATCAAGATACGTGTTTTTGAATGCCCACGGAAAAATGACATTTTTACTCTAAACATTCTATCGTTCAAAACGCGGGACTTCCGACCCACAAGACGCCGAACCGTTTTGGCCAGACGCACTGGAACGCTCGTTTTTTTTTTTTTTTTTTTTTTTTTTTTTTTTTTTTTTAATTTAGTGCACAACGCTGTGCCTCGAGTCCTCGCACAGAACACGATCAGTATGAGAGAGACAAACAGAGTCATGGATAACTTTTTAGCTCCTCTCATTTTCAGCGGTGCAAGTTCGGGTCATCAATGATCACTTTTGGCTTTCATTTTGAGCGCGTGAAAGTGGACTAACGCAGCGAGGCGGTGGATCCATGGTGGTGGAGTCTAATGAGATGGAAATGCGACAATGTGCAGGTAATACGTGGGAGAAGTGTTAATTGCATTGAGGTTTGTGAGGAGTTCAAAGCAAGTTCGGTTGCTGACCAGTTGTTTTCGAGATCGGACCCGTGTTCTGCTTAAACTTCACCCGCTCTACCGTGTTACCCAAGAGGCAGTAACGCCCAAATTTTCGAAATAAGGTCCTAAAATTTGTCTAATTTAATTCCTATGAACTGACTGATTCAGCTAAAACAGCCATATTCGAGAGAAATGAGTAAGGGTGGCAAATTTGACATCGTTTCCGACAATACAGCAGTGAGTTCACATTTTTCCAAGAGAGCTGTACTTACCGCTGTCTTGTGAAACGGTACCATTTTCTGCTGATTGACTGATTTCAAACCTTAAAAAAATTTGTTTGTCGTGTGTTCAAAACGAAACCACGCTAGTACACAGAGCATAGCTCGCATTCCAGTCTTGCCTTTAGGTAACATGAAATTAAAAAATCCTTTTGTAGATAGGTACCTAGAAGTTTAACTTCGTCGAATTATAGTCAACCAAAGTTCTTCAAGGATCGTTTTGATACTGTTACGAAGAACGAAGGATTCGTATAGTATAAAATTTTCTCCAGGACGCTAGTAATAAGTCCATTTTCTTACAACTTCAGTTTTGCAGCTATTGCTCTTTTCGGTAACACGGCGACGTACCCTTAAACTCCGCTCTTTTTTATGAATCAAATCGGTTTGATAGCCAGCACTTAGGTAGTCGTTTCTTTTGTGAAGGTTTCTGAGGATTCCATGCATTTTTCTAGTTTCACCATGCCAGCGATCAAGCGGTGAGTCTTAGAGCATTACACATTATGATCACATTCAGCTTATCGATGGCCGAAGTGTGATGTCGCACGTATCTCCTTTGCGGTGTTTCAAAATCTCTGCTCCTGTTTTATTTTGTCGGAAAGAAACTAGTCAACTATATAGCTTGAAATTTATGCAGAATATTCTGCTGTAATAGAGCAGAAATATCAAAGAATTTTCAAGAAATTAAAGTGACTAGTTTTCCAAACGAAAAAGTAAAGTATGACCGGAAGTTTGCAACGTCGCAAATAGGGATACGTGGTTTTGCACTTAGGCCGTCGACACAGAAATCTCATCGCTCAGTAGCACGAACGCTTGTCCGACTTCCTGCGGTTTCTGTTGCGGTTGTTCTTCTACATTCATCGCATCGATCCGTTAATGGCCTTGATCTTTCTCTTACACCCACCAGTTTTCCAGCAAATCGAGATTTTCTCCTAAAAACCAGCTTTAACAGAGAACATTCTATGTTTCGGAAAAAAATTAAGCACGAAAAAAGAAAACGAAGGCCATTTTCGAATTCGGCGGCCAAATATAATCGATCAAATGAATGACATGCCAAAATTACGTCCTTAGCTATTTCAGATTAAAAGTTTTTTCCCGGTCAAATGACAATCGATGGTATAAGTCGGCAATCACGTAACTCGTTTGCAGTGTTTGAAAATCTGCGCCTATATGTTATGTTTTTAAAGGAGAACAAATTGATATCATTCATCGAAGTTTTTGCAGAATTTTCTTCGCATTGGTCCTTTGTCCATTCCAACCACCCGCTTCCACCAATTGGGCCCTTCCATATCCCTTTTGTTATCTTTGTCTATAGCTTTGTCCGTCAATTTCAATAATCGGCCTTCTGTGCAGGGCCGGATTAAGGGGGTGGCCACATAGGCCGCGGTCTCTGGCGGCAAATTTTGCAATTTTTTTAAACGTAGGTATAAGAAGAAAATCGGATTCAGAAAAAAAAAATATAAACGAGAAAAGGCGATATTTCTCTCATTTCCTGAGAGTATAGTAATTTCTAATTTTGTCATCTTTCGGTGATACAAGAGACAGCCCTTTTAATTAGTCGAGTTAAGACAGAAACTAAACACGGAATTTGGCATGGAGCGGTGCGGCGCAGAGAGCAATATTGACGAGGACTTGATATGAAAAGGAGAAGCCCTCAGCGCGGCGGTCGGCATGTAACACATATTAGCACCTACGAGACTGCATGAATACTTCCCGCATTGCGTCAAACACAGTGCGGTCAGCAGCGGCCGACGTGAAACGCATAGCGCCTACAAGATTGCATGAATACTTCACACATTGCGTCAAACACAATGCGGTCAGCGGGGCGCCGGCGGAAGTTAAAACTATTAAACCACATTTATGTTTGTTCTTGCATAATTTTTACGTTCATTTAGTACAAATGGATAAGGCCTTGTTCACACAGAGATAGGTTTAAGCAACTTAACTTCCGCGCAAAGTTCTGTTAACTTTTGCTAGGAGTGTTGACAGGGCTTTCGCAAAAAATATATGTCCAACACGAGTAAATGAGTCTGGAATTTTTATAATTTTTTGTCATTTTTGTCGCAATTTCAAATTTTTGAAATTTTTCGCATTCCGTCAAAGGGAGGTACTGAAAAAGTACGGAATTTTTTCGTTGGAGGAGGTACTGAATTTCTTGAGAATATACTGAAAAAGTACTTATTTTTGACCAGCCTGTTTCAGTAGGCACCCTGAACTCGCCAAACGTTCTTTTTTTTCTTTTTTAAATTGCAGACTTGTGTTATCAGTCCTAGCCGAAAGGAGTTCTGTCGCGTCGCCACTTGGCTGATTGTGAGTTGACGCGTCCAAGGCGCAACTTTCACAGCCGACGACATAGCGACGCGACAGGCGATAGGGCCGTGAGATAGAGCTTTTGACATGTGGTCGACACTGAACTGAACTACTCGATTCTCGTTGGTCCTCAGTCACATTCGTGCGCGCGGCAGACGCCACCTCCGCCTCTCCCGCACGTGCGACGCGCGCCGGGTCCAGGTCGCTCATCCGTGAAATCCAGCTTTCCAACCGGTTTTCCGTACCGTTTCCCGAACCTCTCGAATTTTCCCCTCTGTATGACGCGCCTTCTGGAGTGTGTTTTCATAAACACCCGACCAAAAATACACATATCCGTCGTTGTATCGCCTCCGGAACCGGTTTTCACTGATTATTTCGCGCACTTTCCACAGTGATATGGGTCAGTCGTGTTTGTGTCTGATACCAAAGTGCGTGGATAGTTTTTAGTATATCTTTATATTCCATGTACTTTTTGACAATTTTTAGTGCGGTATCTCGGTTTCGAGGACGTGTGCGTTGGTGCGGGACAGTCGTTCACTCCCTCGGGTAAACGTTGATAATATTAATTACATCAGAACTGCATAGTTATACTATTCGGTAAAATGAACCACTCAACAGAATGATAAATTTGGATCTTCACAACTTCTGAAAACGATGTAGACCACATTTTACCATGAGGAACTAAAATTTCTGATTCATCCTTAAAATCTCGTATCTGCGCAGGGGAACTACTGATAGCACATAATTCGTTTTTAAAATGAGCCAGAAATTTTTGTCCCCAATTGCAAAATGCAATCCATTTAATGGTCGGCCGATCAATTATTAATAACCGCTGGATTCTAATATGTCTCCGGATATCTTCGAGCATCACGTAGACATATTTTGAAGTAGCGTGAAAAGTAGGTACGCTTTAGTGGAAATCGCAAATCGAAAAACAAAACGATTTTCGATTTTCACTCGGAGCTTAGGTACCTCTGAAGAAATTGTAAAATGTCTCTCAGTCAGATTTTGTGTAAAAATACCTGACAAACTACAACATATTGTACCTACGATGCTTGAAGATTTTTGAAAATATGTCCTAAAATCCAACAATTATCAATCGAAAGATCGACTTTCGAATGGACTTCTTTTACGCAATGAAGAACCTCAATTTCTCGCTGAATTTAGAAACAATATAGTGCTTTTGTAGATGAGCCAAAAATTGTAGGTCCCTATCGCAAAATGTAGTTCTAACAGTCAACGAATGTAATTTTTCAAAATATCACTTCGGTACGCGGGAGATCGACTCACCGAAAACGTCAAAATTCAACTCATATGTGAGGAGTCGACTTGTTTTCATCGATAATGTCAATGTTCCGCCTTGCAAAGTAAATCTGCTTGAGTCGAATCGGGCACTAAATCAATTTCAGCGTACCTGTCAATGAAATTAAAGTCTCGGAGTAATGAATTTTTCCAATGAGGGTGCCCGTAAGCCATATGAACGCAGAAATGTATCAACTTGCAATTGAAGCAAAAATGTTTACGTGCACGATACCCGAAGGGTTGCGTTTCGACAGGGGGCAGTGGAGGTTAGGTGTCGTAGAGCACTAGGGAGTGCTATAGGTAAAGCAACTTAATCAACTTGTATCAACTTTAAAGGAGACTTCAAGGAGTCAAAGAGTCTCTAGGGATTAAAACTTGGTTCTCCTCCTTTGAATCCTCGAAATCCCATTTTAAAATACAATTTTTATCCCTTTGAGTGGATGAATTCAGCACTTGAAATCATGAGAGTCTATCGTGAGTTTTGGTCAATGGCCGTCGTTAAAATTCAGAAAAACTATGATTTTCTGAAAGAAATGGAAAGGCTGCGTTGCTCCGACCTGAAACATTTTGAGAAAAAGCTTAATACAAGAAAGAGTCCTACTTCGACCTTTAAAACTATCGCTTCTGCAGTCTGGCTGTTAAACCGTGAGACTCCCTGTATAGAAAAACACTAACGCGCTTTAAGCATTCGTGCTGCTCAGGTCAAAGGGAAAATTAGTTTATGAACGATACTTTCTCATGATTCTTTATTCTCGACGAAGCAATGACAAATTCTGGAAGCTCATTGTCACAGCTCCCGTATCTCTGGTTTATTTTGTGGCTCTCGACTCGTGCGATAACCGTATTTGCTTTCTACTCGTGGCTCTGTCAGTCTCAACTTCAATTACCCCTTCGCCCTCTTTCCTCCCTCGACATTTTCATACTTTTAATTTTGTAATACTTGTCTTAGTTCGCTTCGAAAACTTGCATCCAGTTCCGCTTTCCAGCATTACTTTCTACGTGATCATTTCTCTTCGCTGATATATTTCTTTCGCAAAAATGTCCGGGACCGTAGGCACTCGGGGAAGGGGGGGGGGGGGGTGGGAGCTGACCAAATTCCTTGCTTCTTATATCCGCGGCGATTTGCTAACTAGACTACATTCTGCAAACAGAAACTACACTTTTTGGCTTATTTTAGAAACAATGTATGTGTCGTTAGTTTATCCATGTTCAGAAGTGTGTTTACGGTTGAGCCGGAAATTGTAGTTCCTAATTTCATAATTTAGTCCAATTTCCTATCCCCTTTAGTTCGTCTCTATTTTTAAGTCCACTTTGCTCCTCCACTACGAGTTCCCGCCAGGTTTAAAATAATTTAATCATGGATGTGAAAATTTCCACGTAAGGTTAGGGCTTTCAGAAAAGATGTAAGGTGGGGGGGGGGGGGGAAATAAACCTACAACAACGATAGTGTTATTTTGACCCTAATATACATGCTAACAGAGTTGAAAAAATGCCTCTAGGAAGGTGTTAAAAAAAGGAAGAAAGAAAAGAACGAAGCCGGGAAAAATAGGTGGAAAAATACAATGAAGAATCAAGTCAAACGATAATAAAAACCGCAAACTCGTTTTATATGTACAGTTCTAGTGATCTGATACGAAAATCCAGTGGGAATAAATTTTAGTGCTCGTCAGCTTATCGGTCTAGTGGTGCAGAATTTAGCTCATTCTTCGGAGCAGGAACCAAACCCATTCAGTTTGTCGTCCAGAGTGCATGGATGATGGAGCAGAGCAGAAAATTAAATGAACAGTTCTTCGGAAATAAACATTTGCCTATACATAATGCGACTCTTTGCAAACGATTTCCTCTCCTCCCTTAAGCATACATTCTCCCCATACATTCTCCGTAGTTCTAGTTGCATAGCTGTAGATCTGCAGGAGCTTGGATACAGCTTACTACACAAAAATGCAGTATGGACCAATGGAGCTCTTGTATGTCCCAAAGATTTGTGATTTAAGTACAATAATATACGTGAAATTTTGCGAGAAACACGACAATGCCACTGGTTTTCTTCGAGAGGAACCCCCAAGTTCAAAGAAGCTCTGAAAGTTGAGGACGTAACAAAGGGGATCCGGATTCCCTACGCTGTGCGCGAGTTCAAAGTCCACCTCTAAACTGTCCTACCAAGAAAGAGTATAGTGTCGATGAAGAATAGTCTTCAAAGTAAATCGACTTTTGCCCGATTACATGGCGTATTGTGGGCCATTTTCACCTCCATTTTCATTTTTCATACCTTTATATTTCAATTTTCCTATACCAAGTTTGGCATGGGATTTTCCCCTTAAATGCGTAGAGTAAAAATTACCAATAAAACGACGTACGGAAAAAGCCTTCTTTACTCCCGCATACTTCTCCTTTCTCGGCAAAGTATGACAGAGATTTAAAGGTTATACTTTGATTATTTTTCTCTTAAAATCATCAAAAGTACTCAGATATTTTTAGCAAAACGATGAAAGTGCGCATTGTTTTCTTCTGTCTTCGGTATCTGGATTCATCGACTAGAAAACACGTATTTCCCATGATGTTCTGCAAAATGTTGTATGTAGCAAGTCGAACTCGCCATCCACACATATACAGCAAGTTTAGCTGGGTTGCCACATTGTATGGGGACTCTGAAATTGTAGTTGGGGAAACCTTTGCGAATGTATTCGCGCCCCTTATCTGTGCATGGAAATTTTGGCTGGATAAAAAGGAGGACTCTCTCATAATTTGGGGGATCTCATCGAGTATGGCCTCAACTTAACGAGTTTTTTAAATTTTGCTCGATTATATTTCTCGCAAATTTTTTTTGGCATGAAGTACCTAAATCGCAAACCTCCGTGACATGCAGGAGTTCCATTCCCAATAGGTTCGGGCCTGCCCGGGAGACTAGCACGCATTTTAAGCACATTCATCAACAGATCCAAGGTGAACCCAACTCGCATTGTTTCCAAAAATAAGGTCGTTGTATCTCCTGTATGAGTTATGTGCCTCGGCAGCTGTCAAGTGTCAACCTCTCCTCCCATCCACTTCCAAATTAGAACTGATACTTTCGCTTCGCCGGATCTAGAATTTTTCTGCCGAGTTTTGCATCGGTTCCAAATCGCTAGTGATTGTGAGGTCATCGCATCGTTGTCCTCACGACAAAATTGCTCGCAGCTATCATAGACAATCCTTGAGACACATGAAGCAGATGGTACGCGTATTTTTATCATCTCCCATCGGAGAAGTACCACATTCTTCGCCAATTTCGATTATTCTCCACGTACACATTAATATCGCCCGAATATTTTGTTGAGGCTAGAATCCGAAAGATATTTCTTTCGAAACGTGTGGGAAAATCATTCAGCAATAATGTTGCAGAATCTTAGAAGAATTTTGTAGAGGAATATATGAGCCTTTTCCCCGCGCCAAATCTTAATTAAGGGGCTTGGAGGACAAGTGAGATAAGTGCAGTTTTTGCTATTTTAAGAAATACTTGTTTAAAATTTCAAAATTGCATGGAGTCTTACGGCGGAAATAAAGTTCAAACTCACTTTTTGATGCTTGAAACTGGATTTTAGTAGTAAATTTTCCACAGAATATATTTTAAGATTAGTTTTATTGTTAGTTGAAATCGCATGAATATCCCAATTTTCCAAGAAAAGCACTTATCTTACTTGGATTCCAAGCCCCTCAATTTCGACGATTATGAGTCTCTAGCTATGGCAATATTTCCGCACTCTCAGCAATAATATTTTCAACTTTTATCAGACTCTAATTGGTTATTCTGGATAGATGACGCTCTTCGACTTGACAAATTCTTCATCTCTGAATCTCTTCCTGCTCTTCCTTTATTGTCCGATTTTTTGTGAGGGTAAACTTGATTATGAACATAAAGCTCAATCCTTATTGAACCGTAAAGTTGCGCGAAAGAGCTCGAGTGCACCTTCGTTTTCGTGGCTATGCAATTTAAGCTGCACAGGAGTTAAAATATTTGTATCCCGCTTTAAGGGGCTCATTATGGAGTTGTATTCGATGTGTCTCCGCTTCTATGCTTGATTTTTGCCTCAACATTTTATTCGTCCAAAAGAGACGACGATACGGGCTATATAAGGCGACCTATCAATCAGACGAAGTTCCCATGCAAATCTCAGGTTAATTATTATGATTTGAATGATGGAAAAAAGGAGTAGAAAACAATTCAATTCACCGACGCGATAATTTTTGAAGGTTCTTGAAAAACACATCCTCCTATTTTAAACCCATAAGAAAATGAATTTTCTTGTCCTTCGTAGCTT